TAATCCATTGGCATTAACTAACATAATATGAAATTTGCTTGAAATATGCGTTGAAATCAAACTGGAANTTGACATTAATGGTTAATCCATTGGCATTAACTAACATAATATGAAATTTGCTTGAAATATGCGTTGAAATCAAACTGGAACGGGCCATGGTAAAACAGTTCAAAGATCCAACGGGATACATACAAATGCCTGCTAATATTCTGTGTTATGTTATCATCACCAACCAAACTAAATTGCTAAAAACACATGGACATATGTCTAATTGATCTAGCACTGTACTATTTAACAGTCCCAAAATAGAGTTCGAGTACGTTCCAATTCATGCAAAGTAAATACAATTGGGATGAACCTAAACAACCACGAACTACTTTATCATTCATTCTATTACTACATCTTGAGCACAGACATTGGGAAAGCATGTGAACATTTCATTTCTTTGTTTATTTCAATTCAACTTCCAATTCAAGCTTACATCCACCCATAGTTTCAGAAGTGTGTACCTGGATGCTGAAATGCAAAAGAAGAAGCAGAAGGTAGAGAAATCAGCAGCAGTAGCAGAAGATAGCAGCAACGACAACAAATACAACAGCAATGACAACCCCAGGCAGAATAAACCAAGCAGTAACTCAATGATACAGGACCCAATGTTGATTTTTCAAATACTCAAAGGAAAGATCCTAAGTCTGACAGAACCAGTAGCAGCTTAATGCTAATTTCCAAACAGAAAGGATGAGGAAAAGCAATGTTTTCAGTTTCAATCAAACAAACAGAAATTTCTTTTCTATCTCCCTCCCTGATTTCTGAACCCTCTCTTTCTGATTTTCAGAACTATCTTTGCTTCCTTATTTCAGAACTATATTTTCTGATTTTTAGAACTCTCCCCCCTCTCTGAACTCTCCATTGTCTTTTCCAGTTTTTTCTAGCTTCTGTCTTGTCTCTGTCTTGTATCCCCTTAACTAGTGGAAACTCTCCTCTATTTATAGCCTAGCATCATACCATCCACCAGCCTGTTAAACAATTCAAACTCCCCATCCCCCCTCCTGTTTTCCTCCTGTTTTTCCACTCATTAGATTAAAATAAAACCTCCTCCATGAGATTCCCCTGACATTCCTTCTTTAAAATGGTTTATTATTTATAAACTAAATCAGGGTATGGGCAGCCTGAATATGCCCTGACAGCACATGCTGTCCAATACACCCTAACTCATTCATAACTGACAATGCACATGCTGTCCACGTAGGGACAGATTTTATGTCAACTTGAACTTTGAAACCTATGTTAAAACTGCAGCTATAAGCAATCCTTAAACAATTTCTGATTCAAATGCACAGGCTAGACATAGTGCATTTAATTCTCAGACCTTAATCGACCAATCATACATATGAGTCAAATAAATACCATTCCAAATTGAAACTCATTGACGACATATATCGACTCGACTATACTAATTATAACACAGAACAAGCAGTCGACCAAATAAACAACATAAATAAGGCATAAACTGTTCTTGACAAATTCACACGATACAGGGGAAAACTACAGGCATTATTGATTTGACGATATCAATCGAATTGAAATATGTATACTACTATACGGATTCAACATAACAGAATAAACAATCGACCAAATAAAAGGTCTTATGGAGATGGAGAACAACTGACAACAGAAATCCCAAAATAAACAAACAAACTAAATAAACATGCTGATAAACTAATCTAAACTAAAATAGACAACAAAAGGTAGAAGTGAACAAACCAGAAAAGCTTAAACACATATGACCCAGGTCCGAGCTTGATTTGCCCATTTGAGGTCGAGNTTCCTATTAAATTGCAAAAATCAAAAATAAAATCACACAAATATTAATTAATACTCAAACAACAATTATCACTCACATTAAACATCCAATTAAAATAAAATCCCTTAATGACAAAAAAATAGAATAAAAGATGCATATTTTGTGATTTTCCCTTTAAACCAAATTATGGTTTTGATCAATTCCTAATAGTAGAACAAAATCCCATCTTTATGTGCGACATATATATTTTTTGTATTTTCAATTGATAGAACTAAACAATCACAGATAAAAACTACAAAAATGACCGGCAAATTTACAAAAATTATACACGAAGACAATTTATTGTTATTTTGATTTCTCTTGGAGTAATTGTCGTGTAAACAAAAATCACGTGCTCACATCTGTCAACAACCTAATAGAAATTACTCCATAGCAATGGAGTATGACATCTCAATAAGGTTCAAAAACAAAGAAAATATCAATTCTAATGATTCGATACAAACTCCCATATTGCGCTGATTGCAGGTTGAAATATTGATAAATTCTTGAGTCTTCTTGCCTTGGTTGGTTCTCCAATCTTTTTGTAGGTTAAAAGTCCTCTCAAATCGTATTTTTGGTATATTTATACCATGTAGAAACAAGACCGAACGAAACTACCCTCTCCTAGGTGAAGTAGGAAACTACTCTGTAACTTTTGTACACCCGCGCCGCTCCATGCGTCGCGCTTGTGAGGAAGTTCAGAGAGGTTGCCAAAAGTCTGTCAGACCACATTTGCATTGTGGTGCCGCGCTTCGCGGTGCGGTTGTGCCTTTTTCTTAGAGTAAATTCTCTCATCTAACTTTTGATATCCAGACTTGGAGCTCAACCCCTGAACGTGATCTCGACTTAATTTTTTGGGCTTCTACTCAGACTTCAAAGCTCCAACTTATTTTATTTAGCTACGACTTACCTTAATAGCTCGGAATCGTTTCCCGCAAGGCATAAAATACGTAATAAGTGTAATTCACTATCATTTAAGCTCAAACACACGTAAAATACAGTAATTAGAGTGCAATATTAAGGTTAAAATACGGGTTTCTAGCTTACCATCATGCATGCCCATGACTATTAGAGTGTCATTTAAGTATATGCATTACACGTCAAACAAAATACTTAATTTGTTCTCAATTTCCATTTCAAATGTACCTACAACATTCATTAGTACCCAAATAAGTATAAAATGCCATAATCAAAATAAGTTGGGCATATTCAATATCGAATACAAATAAAAAGCGGTAAAAACATGAGTAAAGTAACATTAAAACATATACAAGTATGCCCTACATCACTGTAGCGCATGAAAATGTGGGAATCATCATGTTCCTGTTTGTTGGCCCTAAAAACCCAAAAAAAGGGAATGGTCATGCCAAAGCGATGACTACTATTCGTTAGATCGTTTTTTATAGGACCACAAAATTTGAGGAGACTCGGGGCCGATCGCCCAGAATGCATGCAGATGGCGTGACCTATAGCACATGAAAATCTGCGAATCGTCCTAGATTCCTTTTTTGGCCCTAAAACACCAAAAAATGAGGAACGGTCATGTCGGAGCGAAGAGTATTATTCGTTAGGTTATTTTTTATGGGCCCGTAAAATTTTAGGAGATTCGGGGCCAGTCAACCGGATGCATGCAGTTGGCGTGGACTATATCATATGAAAATCTGGGCATTGTCATAAATTCCTGTTTTTGGCCCTAAAATACCAAAAAATGAGGAACGGTTATGTCGGAGCAATGACTATTATTTGTTAGGTCTTTTTTGATGGGCCTGCAAAATTTTAGGAGATTCGGGGCTGATTACCCGAATGCACACAGATGACATGGACTATGTAGCACACGAAAATCTGAGAATCGTCCTAAATTCCTGTTTTTGGTCCAAAAAGGTCAAAAAACGAGGAACGGTCATGCCTAAGCGATGACCATTATTCGTTAGGTCGTTTTTTATGAACCCGTAAAATTTTAGGAGATTCGGGCCCGAATACTACTTTTGAGTTCCATTCACCTCAGTCATTTGCTAGATATAATAAGTGACAAACTTCAAATCATATGACTCGTTGGACTGTAACTGATCATGAACTTGAATCGAATATATCATCTGTCCGACTAATCAAAATTCGCATTATGTAACTAGCCTGTTTCATTTCCAACTCTTTTATATATATTTCAAGAAAGCTAGGTGAATGGTTTCATTCATTGGTTCGTAACTTGTATTGTATATTTAGCTAATCTTGTTGCTGAAACTTGAGATGTAGACTCAATTCATACCTTATTTATTTCAGCGAAACATCAAAAAGAAAAAGAATAACAATATAAAACAAAAAGAACTGATTTGAATATATTTTAAAAACTCTTTGCTAAAATCTTATTCTCAGAAAGAAGACGACAAAATAAAACATCTGATTATATTCTCAATTAAAGTAATACTATATGTCTTTATTTTTTCTAAAGCACCCAAATGGCACTTTAACATTTATTCTTGCCATGAAAGGAAGGCTTGTATATTCCAGCCTTCATAATCCTTTAAAAATGCTGCATCCCTGTCAAACAATATCATTCTTTTTAGTCTTCATTACATATTGTAAGCCTCTTGTACATAGCATCAAGTCTTGGTATTTTCACCATCAAAGGTTGTGGTGGCCAGTTTAGTAAATACCTCTTCGCCATTTACCAAAAGTCTCTGATTCAAGCTCGGATTGGAATCATCTTTGGTAGGAAGCACTATACCTCCAAAGTGGAACTTAGTGGAGCGAATTAATCCGAATTAATTGGAACTAGACATCGGGTGGTGAGAAATCTATAAAAGAAGTCTATAATTTTCTTTTTATCTAATTTCTGTTGACTACCTTTTAACTAGTATTTAAGTTACATATTACATTATTAGTACAATTTAACATGTGATAATAGGTTAGTTTGTCATATAAATTTTCATACAATTACGTTATATATAACTTGATTGTGTAAATATTTTCTTTTTTGCAACGTCATTGCATAAAACTTAAACTCTTAACTAACATCGTTTGTTCAATAAGGTATGTACGAAGAAAAATGTCCTTAGAATCTGAAATGGTGGACATCATTACAATCTCAAGACTACAATCTATACCAAGAAAGCGTCAAATACCAAAAGTTCCATTATTCATGAGAATTGACAATCAAAATAGTGATGACTATGATCCTAAAGTGGTTTCATTGGGACCTTACCATCATGGAAAGCCAGAGCTCAATTTTGTTGAAGATTTCAAGCCTAAGTCTCTAGAAATGTTCATTCATGGCAGTAATAAAAATCAAAATTTTTTCCTCGAAAAAATTCTCGAGGAGATCGAGGATGTTAGAAGTTGTTACCTCGAAGAAGTCACGAATAAGTATAACGACTATGATTTTGCTCGAATGATGCTCCTTGACGCATGTTTTGTTCTAAATGATATCGAGATAGTAACAAGGTCTACACCAAATTCTGCCTCTAAACAAACCAACACAATCAAGCATCTTGGTATTGCAGTTTATTTGATCACTAGACGTGACCTATATTTGCTCGAAAATCAGGTACCCGGCCTTTGTCTGGAAAATTATATTGATCAAATATTACTTTTTTATATATGAATATTAAATTTTGAACATACGTTAGTGAAAATCCTGAATTCGCCACTGGACAGGTACCCTTTCGGATTCTCAAGCTCTTGGTTACGTTGAGATATGGTGATGATGAAGGTAGTGATCAATATTATCCATTTGAAAACAAAGTGAAAAGCTATTGTTCTCAAATGTTTTTTGATAAGCAAGAGGACAACATAGAAGAGAACGCGATGATGGAGATAGAACCTCCTCACCTTCTTGAAGTTTTTCGACGAGTACTTGTCACTGGTAACGATGAAGAAGTAATTAATGTCAAACAATCGCGTTGTGATTTCATCTTTGATTATTTTCTTGATCGTTTTAGAAAGAATCATGAACTAGTACACAAACCAGCATTGCTCATAAATGTGTTTCGTTCAGTTATGGATTTAAAATCAAAGGGCATTCATTTTAGGCCTAGTGGAATTGATTCTTTAAAAGGTGTAAGATTTACATCTCACTATTACTATGCAAAACTCAAATTACCATGTTGGTATGTTTCAACATACACTAAAGTATTTTTCATGAACATGATAGCTTATGAATTGTGCCCAAATAGTCCTAATGATAGAGCTGTGGTATCTTACATAAATTTCATGAAATCTCTCATTATTTCACCTAATGATGTGAAAGAACTAAGAGAAGAGAAGATTATATTCAACACATTGGGAAGTGATGAAGAAGTTGTACAAGTTTACAAAGGATTAAAGACTTATGGGGCAGATGATCCTTTAATTTTCAAGAATGTGAAGAGGAATATTCAAGAACATTATAATAGCAAAGGGAAGACTTGGATTGCTGAATTAATAGATACATATTTTAATAGTCCATGGTCTCTAACTGCTTTAGTTGTTACTATTTTTCTTACTTTCTTGACTGTTGTTCAGACTTACTATGGTAGCCCATTTTATCATTCTCATGAAGAGAATATGTGATTTATTTACTTTGTGTGTCTGATTCATGTTTGTTCTAATAATGTGGAATAATCATTCGTACAACTTCATTAATTTTAACTTTTCTATTTAGTTTCATAGTCTGTGGTCACAAAATACTAAAATAGTTGTAGCACTAGGAGTCTACCACCTTCCTGCCAATTCTTATTTGAGCAAAATACAAAACTGGCAATTTGGCTGAAAGTAATTGCATTTTCTAGCCGAAAAGTGTAGAAACACATGTAAATTTTTTGTATACGACACACATATACACAAAAAATACAAATTTAGGCAATTAATTTTTTGAAACGGCTAAAGATATACATCTCTCTTATTATAGCGGCTAAAGATATACATCTCTCTGACTATTTCTCCTACAAAACCTAGACCGTAATTCTTAGGGGTGAGTGTATACAATATAGAGATTTTTTCACTATATTACGGTTCAGGCCCAACTATCAAGGTATTGTTCACTTTGACCAGATCTCTCTGAACCACCTCAAGCGTTTTGAGTTTGACGAGTTATCCTCTTAGATTTTAACCAAAAGGTGTCTCAATAGTTAAATCATGAACTCGCCCTTAAACCCCATCTTGAGTTCAACCATTAACGATCCATAAGCTGTTATAAATATATGTAGCTAAACCATATAGTGGGATTATAAATACGTAGGTATTTACCTGTGTTCATGAATCATTAGGCATCTTGAGTTAAAAATAAACATTAGGTTACATAAATTTTGAGAATGCAAATTCAACAAGTTTCAACATTGTTGGGTTCTCCACATTAAAGAACTTTTTTTTTGGTAAGTTACTACTTTAGGTGCAAGGAAACAGTGTCCAAAGAATAAAGTTAAAGCTCAAACTAATTATTAATTATTAATTACCTAGTTTATTTATGTCATTAGACCATAGTCTTGTGCTCTGGTCTATGAGTGAACTCGAAATCAACATGCACAAAAGCTCTCTCAACATCAGGAAGCTGCTCTAATTTTTCTTGCAATGTTTCACCAATATTATGTGCTTGGCTTAGAAGCATGTCCTCTGGCAAAACTATATCAACTTCCACAAAGTAATTTGCACCAAATGTGTATGCTCTCACTGTGTCAATGTGCTTTATCTCTTTGTGATGATTCCATATAAGATATGTCAATTTCGCCAGAAATTCTGGTGGAGCTGTTCTTCCGATGAGTGATCGCATGTTTTCGATTACTGTCTTTGCCCATGTGCCAATTGTGTATAGTGCTATCTGCAAATACATAATGTTATCGTTAATAATAATGGAAAATTTGGAGGGATATCTTTGAAATTTTCTACTCATTTTATTTGCTCATTCATTTAGTGATAGTCGTCCACCACAATTGGTTTAGCACGACTAGACATGAAGTTTAAGAAATAAAAGAGATAACTGACACAGAAGTTAAATATGCTTAATATATAAGTCAGTAATACCATATATACGTACATAAAGGTGTCAATCTTGATATAAAAATATAAATAAATGTTTGGAGTTTCTAAAGCTATAAAGATGTCAATCTTGTAGGACAAAAGAAAAAAAAGGAAATAGTGCCTAGTAAATTGAGACAGATGTAGTGTCGTATGTGTGTGCACGATGCATCCACGAGTATGACCTAGTGGTCAATAAAATTGGTATAAAGGTTGAAATTAGGATTCCATTACTAGTAGAGACAAAAAATACGAGTTATTCCACACGCCTAAGCCTTGGTGAGTAACAAGGTGTCCGGTAAATTTTTTAGTGAGAGATAACATGTACTAAGTGAAATAGTTGAGTTGTGCGCCAGTTGATGCAAACATCACTATATATGTGCAAGTTCTCTCCATGTGACCTAAAGGTTACAGGTTCGAGCCGTGGAAGCAACCACTAATCCTTGCATTAGGGTAAGATGTCTACGTCATACTCTTTGGGTGCGACTCTCATTCGGATCTTGCGTGGACTTACAATACTTTATGCACCGGACTGCCATCTAGAAAAGTAGAGATAAAAACAAAAGAAGTATAAGTGATGATTGTGAACTCACCAATATAGCTCCCATGGGATCAATCCACCAGCAGAATCGAATTGCTAAAACTGCAGTCACTAATCCAACAGAGTTGGTAATGACATCAAAGAAATGGTCTTGAGCATAGGCTCTTACAATTTCATTCTTGAATCTTCGACAATACAACATCAGCAGAAATTTTACCACAGTGACAGAGACCATGATCCCAATCATCCATTTTTCCTTCTCAGAATCCGTATTAGGACGAGACTGATGATCATAAGCATTAAACCAGAAGAAACAATAAATCTGGTGTTAAAGAGTGGAGCATTAAGCATTTTACTAGTGAAATTCAATTACTTTTACGGTCGGACCTCTCTATAACAGTATCCCTATATAACAACACCTCACTATAAAAGCCAAACTTTTTCGGAACCAATTTTTAAATTATGTTATAATATATATTCTCTATAACAACATTTCGCTATAACATCCAAAAATATTCGAAATAAACGAGATTGTTATAGAGAGGTTTAACTATGCATAAATTTAAGATAAATACACTGACAAAATATTTTTTTATGATATAACTGTAGTTTAACTTGTGATAGTAAGTCAATTATCATGTTTACCAGGTTACCAATTACTCAATTTATTTGATTTTATGTGACACTCATTATTTATTCGTCTGTCCAAAAAATAATGACACATATCCAAAGTTGAAAATAATTTAGCCTTAAATTTTCATTTTAACCTTAAAGAAGTTTTTTATAGATTACAGAAATGCCTTGATAGGTTTAAAACTATAAGTTTAAATCTATTCCTAGTATAGAATCCTTCAGAAAACTGAGTCACATACCTTATATATGAGTTCCTTACCAGACTCAAATAGTATTTGTAATCCAAGAGTTGCCATCACAGATGCGAAGACAATAATACCCTGTAAATATGATATGATAAAATGTTAAAGAATGCGAGGGTCTCCTGGAAACAGCCTCTCTGTCCCTCGGGGTAGAGGTAAGGTCTGCGTACATATTACCCTCCCCAGACCCCACTTGTGGAATTACACTGGGTTGTTGCTGTTGTTGTTGTTGGTAGTCTTTAATTAAGAAGAAACAAGGAAATAAAGGATTTTGATATGATAATTAAAATGTTAGTTTTGGCTACCTTTTCATTTAGAGCTTAGCTTGTGTACACCGAGCGGTTAGAAATTTTTTACACTGTCAAATTATAATAATGGCATATAATTACAGGTAACTATCTATAGTAACCCTAATTTGATAACTTCAAATATAAAATAATAGGACAAAATACACAAATAGTATACTTAACTGCTCTAACGGACAATGTAAATAATTAGTACATTAATTATGAAGTTAATTGACAAAAAAAGTAACTTTTGATACCGGTAACATGATATGATAACCTATAAGGGATGGTACACAACCTATTACAGCAAAAATAATATAAAAATTAATGTATATAAGTTAACTCCAATCTTTTGTCAATCTTTAAGTATGAAGAGGAGGGTAGATGTTTTGCTTCTTTTAATTGTGTATAAAGGCCAGTTTACTTACCAGAAAAGGTGGCAAAATGGTTTAAAAAAACAGTTATCCATCCATATTATCCATTAAAACATGGGTTGGATAATGAACCATTTAAAAATGGGTCGAATATGGATAAAGAACCATATTATCCACTCAGAAAATGGTTAACCAAATGGATAACTAATATGTTTAGCTTATACATTGTAAAGCTTCAAATTGGAGTTCCTCAAAGTTTGGAAGACAAAGAATTCTCTCATATGTACTGATCATATTTAAGAAGCCAGGGATAATATGGATATCCATATACGCCGGATAAACCCGTTTTTATCCATTTCAAATACGGGTCGGGGCGGATAATTTGTCCATTTTTTTAAATTATCCGTTTTGGCTCGCTCATACCCGACCCGGCCCGACCGTCTGCCACCCCTACTTACAAGTATAAATCTTAAAATCACACTGCACACTGACACAAAGTATAAAATGCATGTAATAAATATCAAAATGTGGCATTATATTTGAAACTCACCACAGGCTGCATTCTCTTTTTACCAATTGGATAGTGGTATTGGTTTGGTTTTTTCATAGCATAAACAGTGAACCACAGAATAAATCCAGACAATAAGTCTAAGAGAGAGTCCAAAGTTGATGCAATCACAGCCAAAGATCTGCTTGCAATAGAAGCATAGATTTTTGCAATGAAAAGAATCAAATTTGCTATGTTTGATACATGAATTGCCATCCTTTCACTCTTAGCAAGCTGCTTCATTTCATCCTGTCAAATATCAAGTGTAGACAGCAAACATGTTTTATTAGGTTGTCTGTTCCACTTTTCAAGTTACTAATTATAGCAAATAATTTTTTTTGCGATATCAGTGTATATATATTGTATTGTATTATATTGTACTGTATTGTTTGATAAATACAATGTTTGAATAGATTGTATCGTTTGTCGTCGTTTCATGATATCAAGTACCAGCAATATGAAGAATACATTTGCAATATCATAAAGAAAAATTATGACACGGAATAAAATTATTACTATATAAAGAAGCAGGGTAAAAGATAAAATAAAATAATTTAATTATAATGAAGGGCGAAATGAGAGAAAAGACAAGGTAACGATGAGACCACACCAAATTGGTCGTTACACAAAGTAGTACTTTTCGTCGTTACGTAACGACGGATTTAACGATACGATACAATAAAATTTAAGTAACAATCAATGATGGTTAATTGATCACCCTTCATCAAAAAATTACACTGATTATATAGGTAAAATATTAATCTTTATATATATATATATATATATATATATTGAACACTCTTTAATTTATTGGAGATTTTTTCATTTCTTTCAAGTTTGAACACCCTAAATTCCTTGAAAAATTTCCTAAGTGAAGTAAGGAACTTGAAAAGTAGGAAAGTAGACCTCCCACAAGTAAACTTATGCCGAAAGCAGTGGCGGAGCCACTCATTGGCAAGGGGACTCAATTGGCATCCCTTCACCGGAAAATTACACAGTGTAAATATATTAAATTCTTAATTTTATGTGAATATACTATATGTTGACTCTCCTTGATTTTTTGTGTGCTTACTTATTTATATTTTGACTCCCCTTAGTTAAAATCCTGGCTCCGCCACTAGCCGAAAGCACACAACTTCAGAAGAGTGGAACACTTATACAAGGAAAGATGTACGTAGAAGAAGAATTTTCACTAAAGCAAAACTTCCAAAAATTTGACATTTCCTAAGAGTAAGAAATTAAACTTCGAAAAGTTAGGGAACACCGGCCCCGACATCATGTCACCTATCTGTGAAATATTGACGTAACAAGAAAACTTACACTATTAGTATACATATCGTATAAGATATTGTTTGTCTTATATTTCAGGTTACTAATTTTATTTATTATAAATAAATAATGGTAATAATTTTTTAAGTAACTTAATAGTGTGAGGAAAAGAGACAAACCTCGGTTAGACTTCCGGGTAAAAAGCCAGATTCATGAACAGTGTCCATCTCATTGAACCCTTCAAGCAACCTTTCTTGCTTCTCGTAATATTCAGCTACTTTGCCTTGTTTTTCTATATATAGAGATATTAAAATGATCTCATCAAGTCGTGTAACATAAAAGACAAAATCCTTAAAAATATGATTTAATTTATAATAGTACTTAATTCATATATATATTCCAATTTATATGTCATACTTTCCGTTTTAAGCTATCGAAAAAAATGTCATACCTCTTTGTTTAAAAAGACTAAAACCAATTTCTTTAGTTGAGTAGTTCTTGAAGACAAAAGAAGAAGAAATTAAAAGGATATCCAAACCAAAGTTAGAACTTAAAACCATTGGTAGAATTGAGTTGTACTTAAAAGAGCAATTTACTTTTTAATCTTGTTTTAAAAAGAATGACATGATCTTTTTTATATTTAAAAAATAATATTACTTTAATTTTTTTTTAATTTTACTGCACAAATATGTTGAAATGTAACTCATAAGTTTCAAAGCCGTTCTTTCTTAAGTTTTCATCTTTTATCAAATAGATTCACATAAAATAAAATCGAGAGAGTAGTTTTCTAGGAGATAGTTAAATGAATTCAATGACAATTAAAATGCAATGATTTAATACCTTCAGATTAATCAATATTTGTCTTAATTCAACCATTTATTCAAGTAGTTTTTACTTCGACAAGTGCAAAAAATGGAAAACAATATCATAAAAGGACAAAAAAAAAGATAAATTGAAGGAAAATTACTAGAAGGGCGACGCAAGAGTCGACGTAAACTGAAAGATTGACGATGATCACCAGTGCCATATTCAGGGACACGAAACTCCCCTATATTCAGCCTCCACGACGCCGACGGTGAAGAGGAAGATAACGGCACCGGCTGATGGGTGGCGCCGCCATGATCACCGCCGTTGCTGCCAACGATCTCCATGAAAATTGTTACTAGTATTTGTACGAGTGAAAATGTACTTGTGTTTTGATATTTATCATTTGCAAGTAGGGAGAAGCAAAAGGACTCTTCTATATATAGGTTTAGTTAAAGATACTTTTGAGGAAATATTACACATAGATATAATGAGAGGAAAAATAGGCTCAAACTGTGGGAGTTTGTTGCTACGTAGGAAGTTTCCTTCAATTTTTTACCCCATGGAAATAGATACAGTAACAAATAGTAATATGGTTCACTAACCATAGGAGTTACACGTTTCTAATAACATTCACATAAAGAACTTCACCCTGCCTAAATATAAACATGTATGATAACAACAACATCGGTAAAAATTTATTGGCATCCAAAGTTTGCATAAAATTAAACTACTCCCTCGGTTTCATATTATATGATGTAGTTTGACTCGTGACGGAGTTTAAGAAAAAAGAAGAAGAATTTTGAACTTGTGATCTTAAAAGCTTGAGGAGTAAAAAGTTTGTGGGGCCATGACATTTGTGTGGCTATAAAAGCTTATCATTAAGGGTAAATGAGTAAAATAAAAGAGGGGTTGCTCTGATGGTAAGCAACCCCCACTTCCAACCGAGAGGTTGTGAGTTCGAGTCTCCCCAAGAGCAAGGTGGGAAGTTCTTGGAGGGAAGGATGCCGGGGGTCTATTTGGAAACAGTCTCTCTACCTTAGGGTAGGGATTATACTGGGTTGTTGTTGTTGTTGTTGTAGTAAAATAAAAGAGTTTAAAATTGAATTATTTCGAAATTTAGAAATGTGTCATTTGTTTTAAAACAGACTAAAAAGAAAAATATCTCGTTTAATATGAAACGGAGGGAGTAATTTATTATAATTAAATGGTGGATGGTTGTATTCGCAGGAGAAATTCAAAAATAGTAGCTAGATTTACAAGTGGTCATTCAAAAATAGCCACAGTTTAAAAATAATTAAAATTTAGCCACTTTTTATTTAAAAATAAATCTGAACGAAAATACTGTTCCAAATCCGGAAAATACTCCACCATAATATACTGGAATTCAAGTATAATATAATGGAACTCCAGTATATTATACTGCAATTCCAGCATAAGTATATTGGAACTCCAATATATTATACTGGAACTATACTGGAGTTCCAGTATAATATACTGGACTTCCAATTTATTATGTTGGAACTTTCCGTATTGCAGCAAAATAGTGACTATTTTTCAATAACTTTAAAAATGTTAGTTATTTTTCAATGATTAGTCCGAAAACTGGCTGGCCCGTACTATTTTTACTGTATTCGCCCATGATTGAACTCGCCGTCAACTTCCTAATACGCAGTTGAACGGCTGCATCCGCCCTTGATTGAACTCACCGTAACTTCCTAATACACAGTTAAACGGCTGCATCCGTCCCTGATTGAACTCATCGTACCTTTAAAATTATGAAAAAAATGGAATATACCATTTGCTAAAATTTTGTGTAGTAACTTTTATAATTAAACTGCATATTATGTTAAAAATACTATTCAATTAAACCCATAGCTCAAAAGCTACATCCACATACTACTAGTTATATCAAACAGAGAACGAGGGAGCAATGTGTAACACACAGTAACTTTAGGGAAGGCCTTCATAATTAAAAGGCTTAAATTATTTTTTCTTGCCTTTATAGAAACCTTAAAAAAGGAAAATAAAATTATGTTATGTTAAAAATGGAAATTTCACTCATCATTTCCACTTAAGCTCTGAACACACACAAAATCTGAACTCTCTCGATCTCATAGTATAAACACTATCTTTCCTTAAGCTCTTTTCTTGATCATTACCATTCTAAGTCACTCTACAGATCCAAGATTTTAGTGTATATGTAATATTTTATTTAAATTTCTTAAACATGGGATCTTGGATAAACATGAGGGCATTTGATTGGAATACAGGGCAAACAATTATGATAGCCCTTTTGGTAATGGTAGGATCTTTTTATACTGGCACACTTTTTGGGCAAAACCCATCTTTGTATTTGCCTCAACAAGAGCAAGAACAGCTTCAACAGCAACAACAATTGTCTCTTGCTTCTAATTTTAGTTCCTCAGAATTTACCTCAGGTTTTTACTTTTATTTGTCTCTCTATTATTCCCTCAGTTCCAATTTATGCATCGATATTTGATTGGTTATGGAATTTAAGAAAGAAAGAAATGCTTTTGAAAATTGTGGTATGTGCCTAAAAATTATGTAAAATAGAAAATTTAAAGCTAAATTGTTTCTAAATATAAAAATGTATTTTTTTGTATAGACTAGAAAGAAAAGTGTAGTAACATGTAGTTTGAAACTTTTGAGTCTTAATGAGGATGATGCTGAGAGTATTTGATTTATAGTGGAAGCAAGTTTTGTTCTTTATCAGATCGGTATCAGCTTCACATTTTCTCACCGGGTGCCAGAAAGAGAAATAGGATCTTTGTTGTGCAAAGTTATTGTATTTCTTTCTTTCTTGTTAGCTAATAACATGACGAGAAAATTATTTAGAGTTGCATAGACAATGGGTGTTTTTTTGGGGGGAGGGGGTATAAAGGCAGAAAATGGATTTTCTGCCTTAGAAAATCCCATGTGGGCAAGATGGCCTTTGAGCGCATTATACCAAGCCTGAGGAGCTTGCTTCAGGCCATAGATTGCCTTGCGCAACTTACAAATATGAGTTGGATTATCAACACAAGTAAAGCCTGGAGGTTGCGTCATGTACACTTCTTCTTCAAGGTCACCTTGAAGAAAAGCATTGTTGACGTCGAGTTGACGAAGGGGCCAGTGAAGCCGAAGGGCAATAGCAAGTATGATTCGCACAGTAGTGGATTTAACAACCGGACTGAAAGTCCAGTGAAAGTCAACGCCCGACCTCTGAGTGAATCCTTTTGCAACTAGTCTCGCCTTGTAACGATCAACTGATCCGTCTGCTTTCCTTTTAATCCTGAAAAGCCACTTATATGAAACAACATTCTTAGAGGGGTCATATGGAACTAGTTCCCAAGTATGGTTTTTCAGTAAAGCATCAAATTCTGAATTCATGGCTTTCCTCCACTCAGGGTGCTTTTGGGCTTGTTTGAAGGTGTGTGGTATAGTTCTGAGTAGGCTAGGTAATCAAAAATCTGTTTTGGTTTCTGGATGTTGTTCTGTGAGCGGGTGACTATACGAGTTGGAGGGGTGGGTACGTGTGGTGGAGCAGGGGGAGGTGCCATTGAAGTGATGGATTTGGAGTGTGGGGAACGACGATTGTAGACTATCAGAAATGGAGTGGGTGATTTTATAGGGGGATTGGAAGCTTGGGGTCTCACAGAAGGCTTAGGGGATGGGTTNTATTTTCAAGAAATTGCACATCTCTTGATAAATAAATTTTAGAAGAAATAGGATCAAAGCACTGATGACAATGACGGGACAAAGAGAACCCAAGATATACACATGGTTTAGATTTAGGTTCAAGTTTGTTTTTAGAGTACAGTTTAAGCCAGGGATAACATAAGCATCCAAAAGTCCTTAGAGAGGCATAGTCAGGTGACTTGCCAAATAATTTTTCAAACGGGGAAGAGTTATTCAAGAGTGATGTGGGTAGACGATTAATTAAATACACATTATGGTGACATGCGAGAACCAAAAAATCGGTGGAAGAGACGCCTCATGTAAAATTGTTCTTGCAGTTTCAATAATATGACGATGTCTACGCTCAGCAAGAGCAACTCGTTGAGGCGTATAGGGTGGGGTGGAAAGATGTTCGATACCATGAAGCGAGAGATAAGAGTCAAGACTTTTATACTCTCCTCCACCATCAGTATAAAGTGATTGAATTTTGGTATCGAAATATTTTTCTGTTAAAGGGTGGAATTTTTGGAACAACTCCTTGACTTCGCTTTTATTTTTTAGTGTATAAAGCCACATGTATCTTGTGTATTGGTCAATAAAGATGCAATAATATAATTTTTTATCAAGGAACAAAACAGGAGAGGGCCTCCACAAATCACTAAAAATAATTTGAAGCGGTTTAGAGCTTTCCAAAGTTAATGTATGGAACGGAAGCCGATGGGATTTATTAGACAAACAGGAATTACAATAATGAAACTTATCTCGTTCAACAAATGGTAGCGAGAATTTATTCAAGACATAATTACGGACTCTAGAGTGCGGATGACCCAGTCTTTGATGCCAAGTGGTCAGAGAGGTTGTAGTGGTAGATATGTGAGCTTGTAGATTTGAATTGGGCCACTCATACAGTCCATGTTTCTTCCGGCCGTACACCAGCGGGGTTCGCGTTTTCAGATCCTTCACAACAAAAGAAAAGGGGAAAAATTCAATAGATGTTAGATTATCATGACATAGCTTGGATACAAATATAAGATTGTGTTTAATGGCTGGAGCACATAGAGTATGGTTTAGCTTAAAACATTATTTGATGCTTGTAACTGTGTAGAACCAGTTTGTGAGATGGGAATTTTGTTACCATCACCCATGGAGACATCCTCGTTACCGTGGTACGGTTGTAGGTTATGCGGCTCCGTTGTGATGTGATGTGTGGCACCAAAGTCAACTATCCATGGGTTAGCAGTAGTGTTGAAACCTGTGATGTAATTGGTTTAACCTCAAAGTGATTGTGTGACTTGGATCGGCAAACACTTGCAACATGGCCAATCTTGTTGTATAATTGACAACGAATAACAACAGTGGTGTTATTGTTTGGGGGATGATATTGGCTGACATTATTGGGGCGAGCATTCTGGCGCCATGGTTGAGAGTTATTGGTGTTGTTGTTGTTGTAGTATTGGCGGCGATTATTGCGATAGTTGGAGTTGTTATTTGACTTGTTGTGAGTGGCAACTGCTGCTGTGATAGGACCAGGGGTTTTCTTAGCTTCCTCATGCCGAAGAAAGAGCTCATGGTCAAGCAGCTTTTCATATAGTTCTTCATAGGTAACTGTAGTATCACGTGCCCATATGGCAGTCGAGATCTCACGAAACTCAGGGCCAAGTCCACTAAGGATTTTGACTATGAGTTCGGAATTAGTGACCGGGGCACCGGCAGTAGCAAGTTCATCTGAAAGGGACTGAATACGTTGAAGGTACTCGGTGATAGGAGTGGTGTCTTTGGTGATTCGGCCAAGTTGATCACGAAGACTGAAGATTCGAGTCTGGGACTTGTTTGCGTAGGCAGTATGCAAAGAGTCCCAAGCCTGTTTTGATGTGTTAGCAGCGACAACTGTGGAGGCTATGGTAGGGTCAACGGAAGCCATAAGGGCGTTTTGAATAAGTTGATCCTGACGGAACCAAAGTGTGTAAGCAGGATTAGGAGTTGTGTTGGTTCCAAAAGTGGTGCTCGGAATGGGGGCTGGGGTGGATCCATCAAGATGACCATAGAGGTCATGGTCATACATAAGCATGAAGAACTGAACTTTCCAAGTAGCAAAATTGTGACTGCCACTAAGTTTGATAGGTAGTTGGGAAGCGGGGTTGAACTGAACTATGGTGATGGTACCAGCAGTGTTGTCGGCAGTGACAACTCTGGTTGTGTTTCCATCTTTCGTCATTGGAGGATTTGGTGTTTGGAAATATAAAAGATCTAGCTCGTTAGAGTAGTATAGGTTCTGATACCATATAAAGACTTGAGTAGATGATGGAAAATACTGTATGAGTTTAAATACAAGATACAATAAACATCTTTGTCGAGTTCTATGTAAACCTAATAACTGATGAATCCTATCTAAATCAAAGGGATAACTCTAAATGTNGGGGGGGGATAAGTGGAAATGGATAAGCTTTTGTGAGGAAGCTGTTAAATTTTCATTGTGGGTGGGTAAATTGGATAGAGATTTGATAATTTAGAGTTGTTTTGCTTTTTTACTAGAGCAATATGACATCCTCAATACAGAAAGAACAAATCTTTTCCTTTGTTGTTTGCTGTCTTTAGGCACTTAATCATAGTTGGTACTAGACAGAACTAAAGGTGATGTGCTCTGATCAAATTTAGGTAAATGCTGTGCCGCGCTTATATAACAAAGGTACAGCTCTAGTACTTCCCTATATAGGAAAGACAGTGAGGTGGATTATTAAGTGCTTGGCTTCTATAATTGCTAATTGGTTTGGTTGTCATTGGGTCTGAGTATATGCTGAGTTTGGCCTGAGAATTTATCATCAGAAACTTTGATTTTATAAGGTATAAGACGATGGTTGGATCACCTTGCTTTAGAGTTTATGCAGATTAAAGTACCTAGTGTTTGATGGTGAAGCAACAGCTTTCTCTTAGGTAGTCTATCCGTTCACTGTGTGGTTGAGGCTGATAACTATTTTGTATAGCATAGCGTCTTTGATTAAAAGCTTTATATAACATTTTTGATAGAGAACAAATATGAAGTCTCATCAAGAGTCACTCGTGAACATCATTATGACACTTAGCTTTTGGGATAAGTCATGCGCTATTTGTTACACCCTTGCACAAGAGATATCTTAAACTGACTAGGAGTGCCGAAAATATAGAGAGCGCACTGACTATACAATGACTTATTTTATTGGGTTTCAGAGAATTTTAATTCTGATTCATATTATGCATGCAGGTGCTTTGAAGTTTAAAAACAAGGTGTCTCTTTCGTATCGGGTGATACCGTTGAAAATCCCTGAAACTGGGGTAAATGTTTGTCCTTTGAAATTTAACGAGTATATCCCATGTCATGACATGTCTTATGTTAAAGAGCTAATGCCAAAACTAGATCTTTCAAGGAAAGAAGAGCTGGAGAGGCATTGTCCTTCGGTTGACAGGCGCTTGTTCTGCTTGGTGCCACCTCCAACTGATTATAAGATACCAATAAGGTGGCCGATTAGCAGGGACTATGTGTGGCGGAGCAATGTGAACCATACGCGTCTTGCAGAGGTAAAAGGTGGACAAAATTGGGTGCACGAGAAGGATCAACTTTGGTGGTTTCCGGGTGGTGGAACTCATTTCAAGCATGGGGCTCCAGAGTATATTGAGAGGTATGTATAGTCTCTTTTCTTTTTCATGTTCCCATCTGTCATTCTTGAACTTGCAGATTTTGAGAATTAATTTTTTTTCTGTCAAGAGCATATGTAAAAAAATCGATAAGGATTTATAGAAGTCTTACGCCACTCCACCTATTGCCATTGCCTTAAGGTTTAGGACTAAATGCTCACATATTCTCATACAGAACATATAAGGTGATATTTCTCTTACCAGCTGCGATGAACTTTGAGTAATCGATGGAAGTCCCTTTAGTTATTGATCTACTGGTCTTATGGTTCATGATGATCTGAATACACTATGATACATAACATTTACTAAAGCTCTTGAATAACAAGCATGCCTATCCTGATATAACTATCAGTAAATCTCTTTTGGTACTACATTGTAGTTATCCTAGAAATTCATAATTCGATATGAACAGGGAAAATATCCTTTTGCACAAGAAACACTAGGTATATAAGCTGCTAAAATATCTGATAAAAATGTTGGTGATATTATGTTTAAGTTAACAACGATATACTCTGGAAAGGGAAAAACTTTACTGAATATTTCCATTATAGTCATCTATTTCTTCTTAGGTTTGAGTTAGTGTCAATCTTGTGTCGACCTTTGCATTTATGTATCTCATTAATTTAGTTATTTCTTCGGCGCAGGTTAGGAAATATGACAACTAATGAGAGAGGTGACTTGCGTTCTGCAGGGGTATTTCAAGTGCTTGATGTTGGTTGTGGGGTTGCCAGTTTCTCCGCCTATCTTCTTCCTTTAAGTATAGAAACAATGTCCTTTGCTCCCAAAGATGGTCATGAGAATCAAATTCAGTTCGCTTTGGAACGAGGAATTGGTGCTATGATATCTGCTTTAGGAACAAAGCAGCTACCATATCCTAGTAACTCTTTTGAGATGGTGCATTGTTCCAGATGTCGAGTTGATTGGCATGAAAATGGTGAGCGTTGTCTTCACTATATAAGAAAAGATTAAACTTAGATGTGTTGCTGCTATTTGAAATAGGCCTATTTTTTCTCCAAGTTAGACCAGTGAACCGATAGGGGATTTAGGTTTTTTATTTCATGGAGTAAAAATGCGGCTCTCATCATCAATAAACTCTTGAAACTCTTCCTAAATGTTTGGCTTTTACACCCTGCATATTCATTGGCTATCGGAAACAGCCTCTCTACCTTCACAAGGTAGAGGTAAGGTCTGCATACACACTACCCTCTCCGGACCCACATATGGGACCGCACTGGGTTTGTCGTTGTTATTATGTCCTGCATATTCGTTAGTGACACTCTTCCTAAAAGAAGTTACTGTGTTCATTTTTTTTCCTGGGTGTTGGTGCAGATGGTATTCTACTCAAAGAAGTGAACCGCCTATTAAGATCAGATGGATATTTCGTCTATTCAGCTCCACCAGCTTATAGAAAGGATAAGGATTTTCCACAGATATGGGACAAATTAGTAAACCTGACTTCAGGAATGTGCTGGAAGCTCATTGCACGGGAAGTTCAAACAGCAATATGGATTAAGCAAGAAGATAATTCATGTCTCCAGCATAACGCAGAGGAGAAACTCGTAAACATATGTGATTCTCAGGATGATTTTAAACCATCATGGAAAACACCTCTGAGGAACTGCATTACCCTAAGTGACACATCATCTAATACAAAGAAACTACCGCCTCGGCCACAACGTCTTTCAGAGTATTCACAAAGTCTTAGTCGGCTAGGTTTGTGAATTCTATTCCTTTGTGCAGTTATATTAATAAAGAAATTATCCTGTTGGCTCAGTTGTTTAGTTTTGGCAACAATCTTAAAATGCCTGAAAATGTAATACGGTATTGATCGTGAAAAGTTCTTATATTGAGCTTTCATCTTTGAGTAACTATCATTAGTTGTGACATGTTATAATCTATTCTCTGTAGGTATTGATCGTGAAAAGTTCTTGGCGGATACAATTTATTGGCAAGATCAAGTTCGCCATTACTGGAGACTGATGAATGTAGAAGAGAAAGAAATACGTAATGTAATGGACATGAGTGCTTCCCTTGGTGGATTTGCCGTCGCCCTCAGTACATGGCCTGTCTGGGTGATGAATGTAGTTCCTGTAACGATGAACAACACCCTTTCTGCCGTTTATGACAGGGGTCTTATAGGCACTTTTCATGACTGGTATGGTGTTATTTAATAGCTTATACTTTATACAGTTCTAATCTAGTTAAAGGGTGCCATAACGATGCAATACTGGGATTCTTAGGTGTGAGCCATTCTCCACATACCCACGCTCTTATGATTTATTGCATGCCAATAATCTTCTCTCTCACTACAAAGGCCGTGAAGAAGGTTGTTTGGTCGAGGATATCATGCTGGAAATGGATCGTATTATACGACCTCAGGTAAGCATATCGCATTCAGACTTTTGAGGCTTATGAGATTACAAAATGTCAATCAATTCATAAGCTGAACACCTGATATTTCATGGAACCACACTCTTATTGCTTGTGCGTTCAAACATGATATTTCACAAGACGTCCGTTCCTTGTATAGAAGACTTCTGCCAAAAGATTAATGTATTCTTAAAAAGTAGTAGCATTTAAAGGTATCTTCACCTTTACATCAGTTCACAGAAATGCTGAATGCATTAAACAGGCATCAGACTGTGAGCAAAGAATTGGAAGTGAAATAGAAGCAAAACTCAATTCTCCATAGGAAAACAGAAATATACGGGATAATCATAAAGCAAGATTATTATTAGTTTCATGCTGCCTTAGTGAAGGGGAACCTTGGAACAACGGTGATGTTGTCTCCTTGTGACATATAGGTCACGGGTCCGAGCGGTGGAATCAACAATTGATGCTTGCATCAGGGTAGGCTGCCTACATCATACCCTCTTGGAGTGTGGCCCTTCCCCGGACCCTGCGGAAACGTGGGATGCTTTGTGCACCGGGCTGCTCTTTATGCTGCCTGTGAAAGGGAGTCCATCTTTCAGAATATACACTAACGAATACAAAGTTTCTGATTGTCATTGTTCCATAAACCTTAACACAATCTAAAACTATCCTATGCTCGAAGTTTCAACTATGATCAAACTCAATTTTGTCGTCAACTGATGTGCAGGGATTTATCATTATCAGAGATGAAGAAGCCATCATATCGCGTATACAAGTTCTTGCACCAAAATTTCTTTGGGACGTCCAATTACATTATCTAGAAGACGATCAGAGAAAAATGGGACCAGTCTTATTTTGCCGGAAAAGGTTTTGGGCCATTGTGTAATGCAGTTTTTGCATTATGTTTGTCACTGAAAGGTGATTTCTAAGTATCCATGCTAATTTCTTCAAACTTAGTTACTGGATAGTAGTGAATCAAATCTGTATATCTCATCAAATGCAGTTAACTTTTTCACCAGTCTGCATGCCATTATATACAACAACAATAACAACAACAACAACAACAAAGTAAAAATTTCATAAGTGGGGTCTGAGGAGGGTAGTGTGTACGCAAACTTTACCTCTACCGTGGTATGGTAAAGAGGCCGCTCCCGATAGACCGATGCCAGGATGTAGTCTTTCTTTTTGCCCGCTTTGATCTCTTTTTGAGTTACTGTTTTGTTTGGAGTAACAAAGTTGTAAAATTTATATGAGAGAACAGCTACTTCAATGTTGTAACATAGAGGACAGTGAATTCTTTGTCACCATAAAGAATTAGAAATGCAAAATATTAGTTCATTGTAATTACATTTATTTCCATGTGGTATTCATGACCTCGTCTTTGCAACATTATTAGCGTAAAATCAGCAAAACAAATCTTAATTGCTGTTATTGGTCATCACTCTCAGATTTGACGAGGAAGAATTTAGGGTTAAGGAAAGATAGAGAGGAAGTTCGAGATATTTCTAATTGATGAAGAGCAAAAAATGAACCGTCTGTTTATTACAAAACAGGGTCCTTTTGTATATATACATGGCCCAATATATATAAAGAAAGAAAAACTGACTAATGGACCTAATCTAATACACATAAATAAACAATAATTGGGCCTGGACCACATTTGTTTCAGCCCATCTCTAGACTCCCAACATCCCCCTCAAGTTGGAGGGTGAGAGAACCCCAACTTGTGAATATGGAGATGATGAGAAGGCCCACACAGAGGTTTAGTGAAGACATCCGCGAGCGGAGAAGCACTGGAAGTGTGAGATAAACTGATGAGACCTTCAGCAAATTTGGTACATACAAAATGACAATTCAACTCAATGTGTTTGGTCTGCTCATGGAAGACAGGATTGTGGGCAATGTGAATGGCGAAGATGCTATCACAATAAAGGGGAACAGGAGAAGCAGAAGAAACTCCAAGATCAGACAGGAGCCTGCATACCCAAGTGATTTCAGCCACAACCTTGTTCATAGATTTATACTCAGCTTCAGCTAAAGACAAGGAGACCACTGCCTGTTTCTTGGATTTTCACCCAATGAGACTGCCACCAAGGAATAAGCAGAAACCAGAAACAGATCTCCTGCTATCAGGGCAGGAGCCCCAATTACTGTCACAATAAGCCTGCAAGGATAGATCAGGAAAGTTCGAGAAGATGAGGCCAAGATCAGAAGTGCCTCTGAGATACCTCAATAGGTGCAAGGCTGCCTTCATGTGAGGAAGGCAGGCTGCATCATGAACTGACTAAGATGTTGCACAACAAACCTGACGTCAGGCCTGGTGTGAGTGAGGAAATTGAGCTTACCAATGAGGCTTCTATAATCTTCAGGATTAGGGAGAGGATCCCCTTCTTTAGCCTTCAACTTCACATTTAACTAAAGAGGACAGGTTACAGCAGAACAATCGGAAGAATAAAAAGTAGCTAAAAGGTCATGAATAAACTTTGTCTGATGCAGAAGAACCCTAGAAGATGTATGAAGAACTTTAATCCTAAGAAAGCAATTAAAAGAGCCAAGATCTTTAATTTTAAATTGAAGATCCAAAAAGGTCATGAGAGAAGAAATTTCAGAATCACCAGTGCCAGTCAATATAATATCATTCACATATACAACTAGAATAACCATAAAGTTGCCAAAACCCTTGGTGAACAAAGAGTAATCATTGAGTAAATGTACATAAACCCTAGAATGTAAGGCTTGAGATAACTTAGCATACCACTGCCTGGAAGCTTGCCTCAGCCCATATAAAGGCTTTTGAAGCTTGCAAACTAAAGGAGCATAGGAAGAAGAAAACCCAATAGAGAGACCAGGAGGGAGTTTCATAAAAACTTCCTCATCAAGATCACCATGCAAGAATGCATTGTTGACATCAAGTTGGAACATAGGCCAACCTTGCTTGATAGCCACAACAATTAGGTCTTAACAGTAGACATTTTGACAATAGCGGAGAAAGTCTCATGGAAGTCGACACCCTCCACATAAGTATCACCCTTTACAACTAATCTAGCTATATAACTTTCTATATTCCTATCAGCTTTATACTTTACCTTGTAAACCTATTTGCAGTCAATAGGCTTTTTGCCATGGGGCAGCTGAACAATTTCTCAAGTTTTCTTAATCTCCAAGGGCTCAAATTCCTTCCTCATAGCATCCTGCAACGCAGGGACAGTTGCTGCCTAGGAGTAGGAGTGAGGCTCAGGAATATGAAGTTGAGTAATAGAGGGAGCATCATGACTGGATGGAGGTATTAGAGAAGAAGAATGGCAGACAAAATCTTTAAGATAAGTAGGGGGATTATGGGGTCTAGAAGATCTTCTCAGAGGAAGATCAGAAGTAGGAGGATTGAAAGAATGTGAAGGAAAATCAGAATAAGAAGGAGGAGAAATAACAGGGGAGGAAGAAGTATGGGAAGGAGGAGAAGAAGAAGAAGAAGAAGAAGAAGAAGAAGAAGAAGAAGAAGAAGAAGAAGAAGAAGAAGAAGAAGAAGAAGAAGAAGAAGAATGAGAGGAGGAAGGATAAGGGTCAAAAGTGTCTGAAGAGAGAGGAGAGGAGAGGAAAAAGTGGGTAAGCCAGCAGATGAACTAAGGAAGGGGAAAATGTGTTCTTTTAAAGTAACTTTCCTAGAGATGAAAACTGTTTTGCTAGAGAGAATATATAGTTTATATTCCTTCTTAGCAAAAGGATATCCTATAAAAACACATGGAATAGGTCTAGGATGAAATTTGTTCTTATGGGGTTTAGTATCAGTAGAATAACAGAGACACCCAAAAGCTCTAAGATGAGAGTATGCAGGTACAGTCCCAAACGACAGTTCATAAGGACTTTTCCCAAGAAGTAAGGCAGAAGGAAACCTATCGACTAAGTATGTGGCAGTAAGAATACAGTCTCCCCAGAATTGAATAGGGAGGTGAGATTGAAAAAGAAGAGCCCTAGCTGTTTCAAGCAAATTTCTATGTTTTCTCTCGACCACTCCATTTTGTTGTGGAGTGTATGGACATGAAGTCTGATGAATAATTCTGTTATCGGAGAAATAGTTAGTTCCTGAAGTACTGGACCCCAATTCAAAGGTATTATCACTTCTAATAGTTTGGATTACAGACTGAAACTAAACTATGGTAATAAAACTTTTGAGAAGGTCAAAAGAATTGCTCTTGGCACCCATTAGAGGAGTCTAAGTGTCTCTTGTGTAGTCATTAACAATGGTTAGAAAGTACTTAGAACCAATATAGATAGGTGTAGAATATGGACCCCTGGTATCTATATGAATCAATTGAAATGGTTTAGTAGTTTGTATAGAACTGTCATGGAAAGGCAGTCTTATTTGTCTTGCTAAAGGACATATAAGACAAGTAAAAGACTGTTTAGAAGAAAAAATACAACCAATATTATTCATATGTTTCATTTTAGAGAAAGGGATATGTCCAAGTCTATAGTGCCAAACAACATCAATACTGTTGACTTTATTAGGTACATCAGTGGTATTTACAGAGGATGTATCACTAGTTACAGGAAAAGAACAAGAAACAGAACTAGAGATATTAACAGTAGGAGAGTTTGGAACACAACATTGTTGGGCAACAGAAGTAGCTTGTTTAAAGAGACTGTTAAGACCATTGTCCAACCTACCAAGCACCACTGACTTCTTTAGTGAAGGGTCCTATAGAGTGCAAGCAGCCTTGGTAGACTGTACAATATAAGCATCATGGCACAATAACTTGTGAACACTAATGAGGTTATATTGGAAACTAGGAATATAAAGCACATTGTGAAGAATAAGATCAGGAAATAAGACTAGANGGCCCACCGAGCAGCATTACTAGAGAACCAATATTAGTAACTTTGACTTTATAGCCATTGGGAAGGATAACTAGGTGAGGAACAGGTAAGGTTTGTATGTTAAAAAGCAAGCTTTTAATGCAGGTCATATGATCAGATTCTCCTGAATCTATTATCCAAACTATTCTATCTATTCTGCTCATCATACGTGCTC